CTGAAGACTTTAATTTTAAGGGAATCTCCCCTACTCATGTGCAACTGAAAGATTTTAAATTTAACTGTTCTAGTGTGGCCTTTTTTGCGAACCAGCAACTTTCCATTTGTCGGATCACTGAAGTCGGCATCTACAACTGATACACCACATAGTTGCGCAGTTAAATTCCCGAACGAGGGTCAGTATGTCACAGGGTTAGATACTGTGTTTCCTTGCGATCTTGCTACGGCACGAAAAGTGCAAAAACGCATAATCGCACCGGCCCGCCTGGTACGTTCCAGCCTGGGTCATTAAATATTGTATATCTGTAGCGGAAGTTATTGCGAACACGGCAACATTTCTGTGTCACGATATCACACACGGGAAATGACACTGTTCTCCACTGGCTACCATTCTGACCAGGTCAGAAAAAAGCAAGAAATACTAGCACGAGTGTGTTACAAATGTTTCCTCTCCCCTAAGCTGCCAGCATTCCTCTTCGCTCCTTCGTCCTTTGGCCACTTCCCCTTTTTTCAAGAGTTCACTATGCCTGAAAAAAGTTTCATTTCAACAAATTCTGCTCATCGTTCATTTTACAGTTAACGGATGTAGACGGCAGAAAAACGGACAAGGTCCGCTTGAAATGCTCGGTTACTCATCGCAAGAAGTTCCAGCGCGGCCACGTGAGTTCACATACCAGTAACACATATTTATACGGATTCTCTTGTTTGACACTAAGAGTACCGAAGTCCATCAAGTATTTTTGTGATTTCGTCAATTTCAAGAAAGGTAGGGGAATGGAACGAGTACATATGAAGATTCCGATTTCATCAAAGGATCCACATTTTTTTTTGCACTCTGTGATCGAAGACTCATTTCTACTGAATCATCGAAGTTCTCTCTCGCCGCAGTGTATCCTTGAAATCTGCGAAATTGCAGTCCGATTTATTTCTGCTCATCGAGCAAGCACCACTGGAAGATCTGACATCGATTGAAGTGTGGCACGAGAAAAAAGGTGATAATAAACCATGGCTGCTAAAAGCGGTATATGTGATCGAGCACATACACCACACGCTTTATCAGTTTCCATGCAACGAATGGCTTGGCGAGGACCCTGAATTTCGGGTAGGTTCTTTCTCTGCACTGAAAAAATGATTCGAATTCTAGTTGGACCGAATCGTTTCTTTCCTGCTTCGAAAATTTTTCTACCCCTTCTTTCACGTTACTCTGTTTTCTTTCATTCCATTTTATCAAAAATTCTGTTGTACTGATAACTGATAATATCAAAAGAGGCTTAGAATGAGAAGACCGCGTGCGCGTCTCTCAATGATTCTAGTTGCAGCAGTCGTCCATCAAGCTCGATGTTGCTGGCAAGCCGTTCAAAGTTCTCCAGGAAGATGAAATTTGATCTCACTGCTCTATCTTTCTGTCAAACAAAATAAACTCCAGTGTATCCGAAGTGCTTCGTTCGTTTATGCATACACCAAATGTGATGGAGCGGCCAGTATACATTAGGAATCAGCATGGAAGTACAAGTACTTCAGGCCAAGGCCTGAAAGTACATGGCGCGGCATCGCTCAGAGTTTTAGCTCCAGCTGTAATCCTGGCTTTCTCAATTTAGACAGGGGATGGA